TTTTACCTTTTAATATTAAACTACCACCTTTGATAAAGCCTTAGCCCATTGTCCCCTTGCCATGATGAAGTTTTGTCCTCAATAAGATGCCAATTGCTTCAGAAAATATCTCTTTTACTAAGGTGAATTCTTGTTACCAAGTGTTATGGTAACAAGAATAATCAAGATGACACAATGGGGGTAAAAGCTGGCCAATTCCGGATTTCCAGAGCTGTGGTAACATGCTGGATTGGTTGGATAGGCAATACTTGTCCAATGGAGCTCAAATTTGGATATGTTGTAGTTAACATCCATTGGAACAAGTCTCATGAAGATCATGACCTCATCCGAGCACCAGAACATGTTGATCCCAGGCCAAGAAGTTGACCTACGAAAATGAACAAAAACAAAGTTTATAACCAATAATGCACTTTTAGCTCATTTTCATTCCAACCAAGGTAAAATCTAAGAAAACACAAAAAGGAAGTAAAAAGCTATAAAATGTCAAGAACTAACTCAAAATAGTGGGTGAATAACATGAAAAATCATGTGTAAAAATGAACCGAACAAATATTCATGCATCTTTTAGTTTTTCCCTAGTGTGTATAATCTACGTCCAATACCTTGGGTTGGGTTTAGGCCTAATGGACATTTAGGTGTGGGATTTTAGCTTAACAGGTCTTGATACAATTATGAGTGGACAACCTATATTTGAACTGTAGATCATTATTGTCTTCTCCGATATGAGACTTAAGAGGGAGAAAAAACATGATGAAGTACAACAAACATTCTAGAGCAATGAAGAAAAGATTTTGTTGAGGCACAAAAAGTCACAACAAGCCCAAAAGCATTTAAAATTCAATATGATGTACAAAATAAGGGATAAATTGGTTTGTATTAATTCCAATTATATTTTATGGGAATTAATTCGACAAAATAAATATGTACGTAAGCTTTTATACAAATTCTAGTAGTATCCTTGCCATGCCAAAACACCTATTCCTTTAAATCCGATATGTCACTAAGCTCGGTCACAAAAGCCCAAGCCATTCTAACACATGCCCAAGCTTTCGAAGCACATGCCAAATAACTCAATGCAAAGCTAATACATTTTTCTTATGCCAAACACCTACTAAGCTCACATAAACCCAAGTCATGTGGTTTATGGGGCTTGCACGAGGGGTTGTGGTGTGAAAGGTTACAAAGGTCCACAAGGCCCACAAAAGCTCTTGGATAATAAAGACTTTGGGGCTACTAGGGAGTACCAAAGTCCAAGCCCATAGTTGAAGTTCTCCAATGTGGGTGAACAAATGAGATATTCTTCAAGCACTCCCTATCACCCACTGGAAACAAGCCAATTCCGACACTTCCTTTTACCCATAGAAAATAATCATTTTCCGATACTTAGCTTTTACACGTTGGAAATAGGATGGTTTCATCACTTCCTTTTATCCATTGGAAATAAGGGAAGGCCTTTGCCTTCTATAAATTAGAACCCATGACCCAAGGAGAAACCAACTTCTCTTGGTGGCTGGAAACCTCTCAGCAACCATGAGAACCCCTCTCATAGCAGCTGCAAGCTTCCCAGCCAACCATTGACCTCTTCCGTTGGCTATCACCCCTCTCCCATTGGCCCAAAACTTATCTGGGTTACTGCAAGCATCCCAATAGTCATCATACCCATTCCTTTTGTTGTTGCAAGCATCCTAACAACCATCAACCCATTCTCTTAATTGCTCCAAAAATCTCAGTAGCCATCACAACCTTATCTCCTACTTTCTCATCCTTGAAATCCTTAATCTTCTCTATAAAGCCTCACCTCAAGCATAAGCCCAAGCTACTCATTCATCCTCCCATCTCTGGAACTCATAAATCTCTCTAGAATCATAGCCACAAACATCATAACCTTCAAAATCTTAAGTTTTTCTTTCCTCAGCCATGCTCTTTGAAACCCTTTTCCTTTGACTGCTATAAGCATCCCAACAACCATCAAAGAATTCAAGAATTCAATTCCTAATTTTGTGTGGACCCCACTTACTTTTTAATTCCTCAATATGAAGTAAACGCACGAATCCTCCATAAGTGGAATTCAATTCATCATTAGTAAACACACTATCTATGTAACATCCCACATCAATCAACGGAGAGAGGGTGATGTGCCTTATATGTACATGCCCACCTCCATCTAGCACGAGGCCTTTTGGGAGCTCATTGGCTTCGGAGTCATGGGAACTCCGAAGTTAAGCGAGTTGGGGCTAGAGCAATCCTAGGATGAGTGACCCATTGGGAAGTTGCTCGTGAGTTCCCATAAACAAAACCGTGAGGGAAGAGAGGGGGCCCAAAGCGAACAATATCGTGCTACGGCGGAGCGATCCTGGATGTGACAAATCTATGTATTTATAACAAAAATGACTTAAAAGTCCATTTCATGCCTTAAATTGTCTAATTAGTACAAATAATTAAAGTTTTCCTCTTTCGGTTGGAGCGAAAGGAAAAAAAATGTTATACTAGTCCATTTTAAACGTAAAATTTATGGATGTCACTCTTAAACAGTAACCTATTGGACTAAGATTTTGCTCATAGAAGGCTTCTTTTGATAGTTGGGATGTTATGCAGTCCTCTCATGTGGGTCTACTGTGTTGATCTATAATTGCGGTTCTCATCGGAGGTCTATGTGTTAGTTTTTGTTTTTGATTTGTTCTTTTATTGTATTGGTCCAAAGTGACCTAAATCGGACTCTCTTGTTAGTCCATGACATGTGTAGTACTCTTTCCTCCCCTGGGGTTTGTCCAATGAGGTTGTCCTACGAAGGTTTTAACAAGGCCACTGTATCATGTCGTTCTTTGTACGTCTTTGGTTTTATGAATGAATTCTCTTTCTTAAAAAAAAGTAACCTAATAGATGTCACTGTTGGACAAGAAGTCCATGTTTTATTGCTTCATTTGATTTTATTTTTTTTCCTCCCATTTTTTCATTTTATGTTAAGTGCACAAGAGTGAATAAAAAAACTCTACTAGAGAAAATCATTTTAACAAAGAAATGCATCAATGGTCAGCATTATTGTAGGAGAATGACATGGTCATAATAACTGGACCGGGTTGTTTTTATTTAGAGGCGCCATACCATTTTTACTTCTTGCCCTCCTATTTGTCCTTAAAAGCCCCTTAGGCTCTGTTTGGTATACCTCCTTGGATTGGACTAACTTAAATAACACCCCTAACCCACGTTTGGTGTAACGCTTCTTTAAGTTAAATAAGACTATAGAATCCGGGCCTTCAAAAAACGCTTCGCTCGTTTGCACAAAATAGAGAACTCTGTGGAGGTGCCGCAAAATAACGAAGTCGTTGTTTTGGATGCTCGAGTCTGCCATTATCCAATGTTGCTATACTCTTCTCTTTCTTTTCGACGTTGCTCTGGCTCTCCTCTTCCGTTTTGCTTTGCTTTCCTTAGTGAGACCACCTCCATCAAACCCATAATGAGCCATCACAGACCCAATCAAATCATCATCATCACCCAATTAGTCAATCAAACCATCATCACCACCCATAACCAGTCACCACATACCCAACTCAACCACCATCACCACTCAATCAAACCACCACAACCATTAATTAGTGGAGAGAGAGAGAGAGAGAGAGAGAGAGAGAGAGAGAAGAAACGGGCTAGGGAAGAAAAGGAAGAAGAAAAGACAAATGAGAGAAAAGGAAGGAAGAAAGAAAAAGGAGAACAAGGAGAAAAGAAAAATAAAAAAACAGAGATAAGATAGTTTTAGTCTTTAAAAAATATTATAATTTTATTTATTTTTAGGTTAAAATTCTTAATTAAAATTAAATATTAAAATAATTATTTTTTAGTCCGACACAAAACCAAATATAAGTCTTCACTATTTTTACAATCCAGTTATAGGTTAGTACTTAATCCAGCTTAGTCCAATAAGGGGTCGTTTGGTACGGCGGACTGTCATGGACTGGACTAAATCCTGGGACTGTCTTGGACTGGACTAAATCCTGGGACTGTCTTGGA